TTTTAAATACTAATTTGTTATTTAAAAAAATATATTTTGATTCTCAAAATACTAATAATATTTATTTACCTTTTATACATAGGTGTATAAAAGGTAAAAGGCTTTGTTTATGCAAGATGGGTATGGTTTTAAAATATGGGTCAAGTTGGGCGGGTTGGGTTATGACCCATTGTTTAGCCCATCTTGACCCAGCTTATCTTAGCCCAAGTATACTTTGGGTTGGGTTGGGCAATGACCTATTTATTGACCAACCCATCTTGACCCGTTCAAATTCAACCCAACCCACCCATTTGTCACTCCTAAAGATTACTTAAATCATATTGGTATAAATATATATCCAGCTATGTCCTATATATGTGCAAGCAGGCAACTGAAACTATGCTCCACATCTTTGGGAAATGGTTGGCTTAATTCATACACCATTACACACTGATTAATACTGGCTTCTTTACCTAAAATTGCCCCTATCCTTTGGCAAAAGAAGAATTAACCCAAATACCCACTCATCCAGCCACTTAAATTAAAAATAGCCGGTTGAAGTATAATATATATATAATTTATATATTATATATGTATAATTATATAATTAATGTATAATATATGTATATTGCTAGAAAAAGTAAACAACAAATATAGATGGTTATTTGTGTAAAGATCCCTTTGCAAAATACTTCATCCGTTTCAAATTAGATGAAATACTTTCCTTTTTAGTCTGTTCCAAAATAAATGACATATTTCTAAATTTGGAAATAAAACTTTAAACTCTTCATTTTACCCATTTTATCCTTAATGAAAAAAAAAATTTAACCACATAAATGACACGACCCCACAAAACTTTTACCTCTTAAACTTTTTGTCTTCTTCTTTTTCTTAAACTCCGTGTCGAGTCAAACTAATCTCATCTAAATTGAAACGGAGGGAGTACCATATATCTCGGGACGATATGTTCCCTTTTGCTATTCGAAACCTTTGGATCAATCGAAATAATAACAATCATAATAATACGAATCTTGATGCTTCTTTACATAGAATTACTCATACCACCATTGAATACAAATTTCTTGCTGGTAGTGGCTCCAACTTATCCATTAAGAAGCCAATCCAAATCACTTGGCATCCCCTCGTAGAAAGACTGGTTCAAACTAAACATTGATGAAGCCTATAGAACAAAAGAACTCCAATGTGGCATTGGCGATGTCATCATAAATGATAAAGGAGATCAGGGACGGCTCAATAGATATTATGGCCTAAAGCCAAGCCTTAATAAAAAACCTAAATTATATTCAATAAAATTCATTTTTTTTGTGAGATGAGTGTCACAAGGAAAACCCGAGTAAGAATGAAAAAGAATGTGCAACTCAAATTATTCAATGTCTTTGTTATTTCGTAGAATAGGTAGAAGAGTATGAGGAAAGAGAAAAAGAGAGTTTGATTTTATGAAGTATAAGAATTGAATGAACTAAATATTGAAAACGTTGCCTATTTTTTATTTGCTTAATTGACTTCCTCTCAACTTAAACGTGAGAACCTAGAAAATATTTGGTATGTGAAGAAAACTAAATGAGTTGGAATAGTTTGAATTATAAGATAAACTGCCTCCCAACTGAAAGGTGTGAACCTAAAAAATATTTGGCTTACGTGAAGAAAATAAACGAGTTAGAGTAGTTTAGATTATAAGATATATGTAACTGATTAAATTAACAACAAAAAAAGAATTAGATAGATGGAAGTTTATTAGACTAGCAGAGGAGAAAAAGAATCTGGTCATATTTAATTACTAGACAGAGTAATTTATTAAACATTAATATGAAAATAAAGTACCGCATCTAAAGAACTCCTTATTTAGAGTTAATGGCTTACATGGTCACGCAAGTTTGGGAAATTGGGCATCAAAATTGTATAATTTTCTTGTCTTTTAAATATCACTCAATTTTAATTAATTTACTTAAATGCTCATTCTAGTCGGATTTTGTATTTTCCGGTAAGTTTTAGTTTTAAGAAAAAATCATTATAATAGTAATTCAAAACTTAAACTATTTTAAAATCTAATCCACGCGTTTATCCAATACCACATGTCCCACATATATGGGTCGACTTTAATATCTTCTTTGCTATATTGCAATTGTAGTTAACAAAAATTTTTGTACACTCGGACAATAATTTATATTATTGAATTTATCAGTTTCCATCTTAAAAATTATGTTACATCAAATTTAAAACTATCAAATCTTGCAAATATTTGAAAAGAAAATTCGCAAATCCATTGAGAAATATTTGAGAATTCCTTTTACAACTCCTGGACTTAACCAGAAGTGTTGTTAAAGTTAAACAACTTTTAAAAAATATAAATTTGTATCATTAGATTTTTACGATAATTTTTACAATAATGATTTATATCATTAAAGTTTTTAGTTCCTTTGCATTTGACTTAGAGCCTAATGACAACGTAACGAATTTAAAAAATAAATTAGAATGTCATATAAACTATAAATAGTTGAAAAACTATAATCCTAAGTAGTTGAGAGCATAACTTGAGTTATAATATAATGGTAAAAATTGATTTGAGTTTTTTTTATGTGTCTTCATAATCATCTATTGAATGTTGAACTTCACAAGTTTGTCTTGCTCTTCCCATAGCAGTGTTCAATTTATTTCATAATTAATTCATTTTAACTTTTGAATTTTTAATTAACATAATTTTTGAAATGAGAACTAAAAATCCTAATGATATAAGTTATTATGCAAAAGTAGAAAAACTTTTAAATTAACTACAGCTGCATATAGAGCGGTGAAGCTGTTAAAGTCCATCCATATATGTGAGATAGGTCAAGTATTGGGTAAAAGTATGGATTAGGTTTTAAAATGATTCAGGTTTTTAAATTAGTGCTTAATAATTTTTAATAATTTTTTCCTAAAATTAATTTTGCCATGTCATTAAATTTCACCGAAAAGTATAAAATCCTGCAAGAATAACCATTTAAATGAAATAGATTAAGTTGAATAATTTTTGAAAAATAAAATAAATTTATATAACTTTGATGGCCAATTTCCCAAAGTTAAGGCCATCCAAGTCATCAACTTTCCTCATTTACTATTGTAATTTACAAATGGGAGTGCGAATTCATTTACTGTGGTAGATCCGGACCAGTATAATTAGACTATATGCATTAGTGAAATGAAGCCACGTAACTTTAACAACTTATCAAAGGAAATCAGGAATTATGGCAAGAATCGATTTTTTGCAATTTGAATCAAGTACTCACACGACTTGTCTTACTAAACAAGACGCATCAATTTAGAGTCTTAAGGGTAGTTTGGTCGGGAAATAAATTATTCTGGAATATTAGTTATCCCATCCTCTTAGGGGATAAATAAATACTATAATTTCGGGATTAGCTATATCACAATTTTATCCCAACCAAACACGAGATAAACTGATCTCAAATTTAATCCCGGAATTAATTATCCCTTATCCCTAGTACCAAATGAGCCCTAAGTTAGTGGTGTATAAGGTGTATAGGGAAAAATACGACATGACACGTTGCCGCTTAAAGGAAGGACACGTGGAACACAAGATGGAGATGACCACCGAACATAGTTATTTCGCTTGTCACCGGAAGGAATAACGATCATAAAGAGAGTATTAAATGCTTTGCGCCCGGTGACATTTAATACAAAATATTTTACAGTATTAAGGATGATGGACCGTTACAAGGAATTTGGCATTTATGTCTAATGTTACATCTCCATCAACGGCCCTCATAATTGACATTAAAGAAGGACATGATCCTAGGACTTCCTTCCCTAAACGTAGCTATAAATAAAGAGCTTAGTTATCATTGTAAAGGATGAAATTTTATGGCTAACTTACACTATATTCTATACAGCATTTTAATACAATTTTATTTTTTCGCTTTTGATCTCATCATTGTTGTGCCCGAAAACTCTGTTCCCGGACTCATCAGCTATGTTATTTCACCTACATTCCAAGGCTAAGTATTTTATATTTCATCAGTTATTTCGTTACTTTTTGGATCAAATTAATTCACTTGTCTAGAAACCACGAACTTCAATTGTACCGTTTTTCGGATAAATAGTTTGGCGCCCACCGTGGGGCCTAGACAGCCGTGCAGTTAAATTGATCCTTGCCTTTTTTACTAATATGTTTGATTATTTTGTCTTAGCAAAAATCACAAAAGAAATGGGAGATAACACTGTTAACGGCACACGTAACCCTGAAATTCAAGGGGAACAACCTCATTTCGAGGATTCAATCAGTGACACTCGCAATGAGGGGAACGACGCCACACCGGAATATGACATGCGGTACCCTCGACAGGTTCAGGTGGCAACTCCTAATGATGATGATGAGGGGCATGTGGCGGATGCAGTAAGGGTCCTGCAAGAGCAACATGCAATCATTCTAGGCCATCTCACGCGGCAGGATCAGGTTATGACAGAACTGAAGCAGGCGTGATCGGGTGCCTCAAATAATGCAAACAGGCGAGATCCAGTTCCTCCTGATATTCCCGCGAACCAGACGACGCAGAGAGTTGATAATAACACTCCTTGGGGCGAAGTCGGCTCTGATGGGGCTGGAGGGAGTAGATCCGACCTCAACAACGAGAACAATCCGTTCAAGGATGAACTTTTGCGGTTCATGAAGGAAGTAAATGCCTGCATGGATCAAATCCCGGGCGCGCCACCAGTATTGAAAGGCCCGAACTCGAAGAAGTATATTTAATTACCATACAAATCGAGTGCGGCCCCGGAATTAATCCCGAAGCGATTCAAAATGCCCGAAGTGCCGAAGTATGATAGGATTTCAGATCTATATGAGCACATTACCACCTACACAACAACAGTGAAAAGAAATGATTTGGCTCCTCAGAAAATTGAGTCCGTGTTGCTGAAGAAATTTGGTGAAACTCTCACGAGGGGAGCTTTAATGTGGTATTCATTATTGCCCGAGCATTCCATAAATTCCTTTGAAATGCTCGTAGATTCTTTTATCAATGCTCATGCTGGTGCTAGAAAGGTAAAATCCTGAAAGGCCGACATATTCAGGATTGCGCAGGGAGAATCCGAGTTGTTACGAGAGTTCGTTACACGGTTCCAGAAGAAAAGGATGTTTCTACCAGCAGTCCCAGATGAATGGGCAGCTGAAGCAGTCACCAAAGGTTTATATCCAAGAAGTTCGTACGCTTCCCGGAAGTTGAAAGAAAGTCTGCTCGAGTTCCAAGCGATGCCTTGGGCGGATGTTCACAACCGGTACGAGTCAAAAATAAGGATAGAAGACGATCAGGTGGGCTTTCCATCGTCGACCAAAGGACGGAAGAAGAATAGAGAAAAAATAAAAGATGATATTAACATGGATAGATGGACTCCGAGGGGGAGGTTTTTGCCATACGACGGACAGAAGGTCGTGGCAGGAGCTTCCGTACAGCAGACAAGTTCACCGTTGATAGAAGGACCGATTGTGGCCGGAACTACATATCGCTGCAGGATAAAGAAATCTGGGGGTCGCGAGATTCTTCTTACCCAAAGTTATCAGAATATAACTTCAATGTCAGTGTAGTCGAGTTGGTGTCAGCCATGAGGAATATCAAAGAGGCACGATTCCCAAGACCTATGAAATTTGATCCCAGCCAGAGGGATCCCAATTTATGGTGTGAATACCACGGCACTAACGGCCACCGGACCGAGGACTGCCGACACCTCCGGGAAGAAGTGGAAACACTGTTAAAGAATGGTCACTTCAGAGAATTCTTGAGTGACCCAGCTAAAAATAACTATGGTCGGAACATGGGTGACACGTAAAACTCAAAAGAAAGAGAGAAACCTCCATGCCAAACGATCAACATGATCTTCGGGGGGAATGAGATTAATGGAGCCACCTTTTCGGCAGCAAAGAAGACAAAAGTATCGATAACTCATAGTAAAAGACTCCGGGAAGACGATATCGCATTTACGGATGAAGATGCAGACGGACTACTGTCACACCTCTCTTTTTCCGTAACCTTTATTACGAGGTTGGGTTAGAAGAGTTTTTCCAATTAAAGTGACGATTTGAAAATGGATTATTTATTATTCAGAGTCGCCACTTGGAATTGAGTTTTGGTGTTCCAAGTCACCTTTTATTGAATCCCTTATCAAAAGGAAGATTTGACTCCTAATGTATGGTCTACGAAAATAGAAGACTGAGTAAGGAATTCTGTTGACTGAAGGGAAGGTGTAAGGCACCCCTCGAGTCCCGTGGTTCTAGCACGGTCGCTTTATTGACTAATGTAAGGCTTAAATCAATTTTATAGCTATTCTTGTATTTTATTGATTATGGCTAATTTATTACTGTTTAATTAATTATTTATTTTATTTTATTTTTTTATTATTTGGACCCAGATGCGATACGCACACAAGGTATTTTTTTGAAGTTAGATATTAAACCAAAGTACGAAATGTACACATGGTTAAGATATAATTATTTTAAATTTAAAGGCATCAAGGTGCGGAATGCGCACATGATCCTTTTATTATTTAAGCATATCAATCCAAGGTTCGAGTATGAACACATGGGCTAATAGCGTATTTAGAAAATTTAATTATTTTCTCTCTTTCATATTCGAGATATTTAATTGTATATTTTATTACTTATTGCAACGAGTCTTCAATTAGTTCATGGCTCATTTCCTTTCTCACAATTATTTTTTTTACCATTCTTTTTGTTTCACATAACGGACTTTGAATTAATTCGGAACTCACATCCCTAACTTATAATTATTTTCTACGGATAGGCATTGAAATGTGCACATACCTAATTAGTTATATTCTCCCATAACCCTATTCTCGGTGGGAATATAAAAGAAATGTATTCGACAGCTTAGCCTCCAACATCTAATTTATTTACAAAGAAGATTGTTTATGCTAACAGAAAATAAAATGAAGTTTATATAATGGAGAAACAAACTCAAAACAATTTCCAGCTTATTCTTGAATGATGGAACAAAGAAAGAATCTACATTCTTAGATTAATTTAGAATAGCTAACATTGTACTAAAATAATTTACAGTAAGTAAAAAAACTTGGAAAATTTGATACAACTAACGAGATTTTCTTTAAAGTATTTCTACCAACACTAACACTTGAAAAACTTTTACTTTTCATGGGCAAATAGTTAAACATTTGTGAACGTATATTCCAAGAAACAACAAAAACTTAATAGAGAAAAACCTATCATAATCTTAAAATATTTATTATAATTTATGGCCTATTTACAAGAATGACTGCCCAAATTAAGAGAAATATGACTACAAGGATTAATTAAACCAAGTGTTCAAGCGTAGATCTATTCATGACATATTTATGGACTAAACTTCGAAGATAATTTGAATCAACCAAGACTAGAGATATATTTTAATAACACTATATACATTGAATTATAGAGATAGATGATGGTAAATCCGATATCAAACAAGCACAAACTCACATTTGTATTCAGCAAACTTTTAAGAAAATTAATATAAAGATTAACACACGTTCATATTTAAATCATGACATTATTATTGAACTAACAAGGAGGTTGAATATTACCTTTTTGCGCAGATTTCATAATAGATAAATAGATACAATCTACTGATTTCCCAAGTTAAAAGATGTTAACTCTTCAGCAACCTCGAACGAAAACCTCGACGTCAAAACTTCTTCAACTTGTTCGAACGATTCATAGAGAGAAATGATCTTGTGAAAGATAAAGGAATTCTAAAAAGAAAATTAAAGTACAGCTCTTTCAAAAATAAAACCTTTTTTTTTACTGCAGGAATACTTCTGATCTCCTCCTCTTGTCTTTTTCTATCAATCTCGTTTTGTTTCTTCTGTTCAAAGTTTTTTTTTTCTTTTCAAAATCTTGCCCCCCCCCCTTTCTTTTTGAGTTTTTCTNATATTTATGGACTAAACTTCGAAGATGATTTGAATCAACCAAGACTAGAGATATATTTTAATAATACTATATACATTGAATTATAGAGATAGATGACGGTAAATCCAATATCAAACAAGCACAAACTCACATTTGTATTCAGCAAACTTTTAGGAAAATTAATATAAAGATTAACACACGTTCATATTTAAATCATGACATTATTATTGAACTAACAAGGAGATTGAATATTACCTTTTTGCGCAGATTTCACAATAGATAAATAGATACAATCTACTGATTTTCCAAGTTAAAAGATGTTAACTCTTCAGCAACCTCGAACGAAAACCTCGATGTCAAAACTTCTTCAACTTGTTCGAACGATTCATAGAGAGAAATGATCTTGTGAAAGATAAAGGAATTCTAAAAAGAAAACTAAAGTACAGCTCTTTCAAAAATAAAACCTTTTTTTTTTTACTGCAGGAATACTTCTGATCTCCTCCTCTTGTCTTTTTCTATCAATCTCGTTTTGTTTCTTCTGTTCAAAGTTTTTTTTTTCTTTTCAAAATCTTGCCCCCCCCCTCTTTCTTTTTGAGTTTTTCTTTTTATAAAGAAGAACAATGGTCGTTATCCAGTCTTGTGCCAAGGAGTTGAAGTGAAGATATGGGATTGAGGTTCAGAAAATNTATTAAAAGAAACCATTTATTTTTGTAAATTTTCTTTTTCTCTTTACAAATGGAAATAAAATTTTTACTACAAGCATGTGAATATTTTTGTAGATATGTTTTTAATTAATTTTTTTTTAAAACTAAAACCTATTAAGAGTAAGATAAAAGTTTAAAATATTAAGATTAGATCTTAAAGAAATATTTACACAAAAATAGTATAAAATTCGGGTGTGGTTAAAAATTAGTTGTTCACAACATGCCCCTCTTTGCTTGGAAACATGAAGAGTTTTCAGGCAAAGAAAATGAACAAGGTGACTAATTTTTAACCTCACTATTATTTAAAAAGGAAAAGAAGATAAAAGAAAAGATGTGACCGAGCCTTGATTTTAGGCAACCTACATATCCCGGGTTATAAGAGAATCAGGTCACGTGTAGTTCGAATAGAAAAAGAGTGACGGAGTATGCTTAGATAGAGAGCCGAGTGAAGTTTCGTCGAGGTTCCGATCCGCGGTTCCTACTATTACATCAAAATAAAAAGAAAATTACATACTCTTGAAATCTAAGAGTTAAAAAATTTCTATCTATGTGCCATCTAGAGTCTTGTCTTGATTCTTGAGTTGCTTCCCCCCATTGACTTTAAACTAAAACTTGATGCTCTCGATGTAACAAACTATGAAATATTCTCCCAGGCTTGATTCTTGATCAGATGATGAGAAGATGGATCTTGAGACCCTATGTCTCCGCACGCATTACGTCAAGGCTAGTTGTGGCTGGTATTGAGATCAAACGTTCCACTTTCTCTGGCGAGAGCTGGAGTCTTTTCTTACACATCCAATCTGTACTTTGCATAAAAATATGCAAGCCCTCAGAAACAAACAAAACAAACAAAAATTTTCTGCCCCAGTTTGTACTAGGAAATATTTGTGAGTTATTGAAAATACATTAAATTATCTTTGCTATTGCAGAATAAAGAATTGAAAAAAGACACAATTTTTTTTTTGAATAATAGGGGATGTCGTACCCTATGTTAATAAGATGGATGGAAACCAAGGTATGTAGTATGTTGGCAATAAGAAGAGGTTCGTGGCTCTCTGAGATGCTACTAGGGAATGTTGTACCCTATATTGGCAATAAAATGAGGATCGTGGCACTCTGAGATGCTACTAGGAAATGTCGTACCCTATGTTAGCAATGAGAAATGCAACCAAGGGATGTAGTACCATGTGTTGGCAATAAGGTGAGGTACGTGGCGCTCTGGAATGCTACTAGGGAATGTTGTAACCTATGTAGGCAAAACATAATGCGAGCAGGGGATGTGGTACCCTGTGATAGAAATAAAATGAGGCTCGTGGCACTCTGGGATACTACTAGGGGATGTCGTACCCTATGTTGGCAATAAAATGATGCTCGTGGCACTCTGAGATGCTACTAGGGAATGTCGTACCCTATGTTGGCACTAAAATGCAACCAGGGGATGTAGTACCCTATGTTTGGCAATAAGGTGAGGCTCGTGGCCCTCGGGATGCTACTAGGGAATGTCTTACCCTATGTTTGCAATAAAAATAAGGCTCGTAGCACTCTTAGATGCTACTAAGGAATGGTGTACCCTATGTTGGCAGAAAGTAATGCAATCAAGGGATGCAGTACCCTATGTTGGTGATAAGATGGGGCATTTGGCGCTCTGGAATGCTACTAGGGAATGTTGTAACCTATGTAGGCAAAACATAATGCGAGCAGGGGATGTAGTACCCTGTGTTAGAAATAAAATGAGGCTCGTGGCACTCTGGGATTCTACTAGGGGATGTTGTACCCTATGTTGGCAATAAAATGATGCTCGTGGCACTCTGAAATGCTACTAGGGAATGTCGTACCCTATGTTGGCACTAAAATACAACTAGGGGATGTAGTACCCTGTGTTTGGCAGTGAAGGCTCGTGGCTCTCTAAGATGCTACTAGGGAATGTCGTACCCTATGTTGGCAAAGAGTAATGCAACCAGGGGATGTAGTACCCTGTGTTAAAGATAAGGTATTGGTTCCTTAAAATTAAACTAAAAATAACGTGATTATATGTATATTGGAAGAAAAACAAGGATTTTGAGAACTTCACTTGGTGGGGTTCGTCCCTTCACGAACTGTTTCCTAAAACTGTTCAGTTCCTGTTTTGAATAAAGAAAGATTCGTTAGTTTTAAAATGGTGGTCAGTTTGTGGCCTTGATTTCCTGGGTGACTTGACCTTGCGT